GTGCCCTGGCAGCCAGGAGGGACAACCTGTCCTGGGGGCATCAGGCACAGCATCCCCAGCCAGGCAAGGGAGGGGATTGTCCTGCTCTGCTCTGCACTGGGGCAGCCTCACCTTGAGTGCTGGGGGCAGCTTTGGATGCCCTGATATAAAAAAGACATTAAGGGATTAGAGAGTGTCCAAGGGAGGCCACCAGGAAGGTGAAGGGCCTGGAGGGGAAGCTGTGTGAGGAGTGGCTGAGATCACTGTCCAGCCTGGAGGAGACTGAAGGGAGACCTCAGTGGGGTCTTTAACAACCTCTTGAGGGGCAGCAGAGCGCAGGCACTGATCTGTTCTCTGTGGTGACAGGACCCGAGGGAATGGCCTGAAGCTGTCTCGGGAGATTTTTGTTGGATATCAGGACAAGGTTTTTTCACCCAGAGGGAGATTGGTCATTGGAACAGGCTCACCATCCAGCCAGAGTTCAAGAATCATGCAGGGCCAGGAGTTGGGTTTCAATGATCCTTGTGGGTTCCTTCCAACTCAGAATATTCTATGATTGTGTATTTCCATGGAGTAGGAGAACACAAAAGGGTAGCCTGTGACAATTTTTATAAAATAATTCCTGGTGTTGTATTATTTGCCAAAGAAAATATGATGATATGTCAGTAGTGAAAATGGATTCTGCAGTGTTTTCTTTATATGGGCATTTTGTCCTATAACCTCTGCCCAACCCCATATCCAAAGCACCTCATTTAGTACATGTATGGATGCCATTGGAGCAGTTTTGTGGCTTTGTGTGGCATAGGGGGACCTGCTCCCGACTGACTTTGTATTTTACCTTGCTTCCACTCCTAGGAGTGTGCCTCAAACAATGTCAGCATTTTGTGGGGGGTCCCCCTTGTTTACTGCTCTTTCACTAGGAATGTTGGCTTTCTGGGAGCACGTTCCTGGGCCCACCTTCAATGGAATAGGCAGATGGTCATCACAGGCTGCCCTGTATCATGGCAGCTACAGGGTTTACTCTTCTAGGGACACTTTGGATAGTATTGTCACACTGAGCCGTGCTTCTGATGGAACTGCCAAGTCCAGGTGGTCTGTTATAGTCAGCATTTTTTGTTCTCTAGCTCTATTGGTGCCTTGTGAAGGCTGACCTAGAACAGAGACTAGATGGAGCTAAAGAATAAAGTAGGGATTTATTATAAATCCTCAATGGATACACCTTGGGCAGTACAAGAGCCCAGCCAGGGCTACACTCAAGATGAACCCAAAATGGTCACAAAATGGATGAGTGGTCAGGGGGTCTCACACTTTTATAAGTTTTGGTCCATTAGCATATTGGGGCCAATTGTCCAATTACAGCATTAGCCCATGAAGTCCCATCCTTCTTGTTTTTCTCTCTTCAGTCCACATTGTTTATGCTCTTGGGCCTGAGATCTGGATCAGCTGTCCTTGGTCCCCAGCTAGAGAATGAATTGTTTTGCCTACCTGCTCTTTGAAGAGAGCTTGCTGTCCCCTAATATGAAGCTCAGACCCACATACTAAAGCAGCACAGAATCTGAAAAATAGACAAGTTAAACCTGAGGCATCGCTAGGTTGCTCCTAGTATGTTTTCAGAGGCGTTTTTTGGGATGCAGTCACCTTGGGAGCCGAGCACTGCCTTTCACAAATACCCCACTCTCCCAGGTGACTATGGAAAGAGGAAATGCAGCACCAGTGCCCCAGATCACTCATGCAGTGCATAGTTTCTAATTATTTGTCATGACAGGACCTATATTGGAGGTGTCAAAGAAGACTCTTGATATCAATTTCAGCATTTGTTGATGTTATAAAGTGGCAGGGCAATTATTTTCTGTGTGAATAGTTACCAAACTGAAGACTTTTTTTAAACAAAACAATCCTCACACAGATACTGGCACAGGCTGACCATTGCAAAACATCTCCATTTGTCAGTAAGCTTTTGCAACCACTAAAATATCCCTGTTGTTTGTGGTGGCATTGTGAAAGCAGCCAGTAAATGTTGTGTGAGCCAGAAAAAGAACCAGCTGTTAAGCTGAATTTCAGTTTTACCTTAACAGGAGAGTTATTTCAACCCATTTTTTCTAAATTCTAATCAATTTAAAGGGGGAGGAATAGAGTTCTTAAAGCTCAATGGGTGGATTTTTTCTGTTTTCACACCTACCTTCTTTGCAATAGCAGGGACCAACTCATGGAGTAAAAGGAATATTGTACATTCTGAGAGGCATTTTTCAAATACAAAAAGATCACTTTGTCGTCATCATACTCATCCCCATTGTGCTGGAATATAATGATGTGGGAAATGGTGAGATATAGTTGCATAACTCTGAAAGCTGGCATGTATTCCTTCAAAAGGAACAAGAAAGAATAATTCCTCTGAAAAAAGTACTCAGACTTGATAGTGCCATGTTTTTTTACAGAAGCAAATTTTCTCTCTTTTTAAATTTTTATTATAGAGTGTAACTAATCAGAAGGTATTTCAGATTAGAGTTTATTACATTGGAACAGTATTTTTGGGCAGTTGTCCATTTTCACTGACACAACAGTAACAAGCATTCCAATAATTAGCTAGTTAGTGAGTGTTCAGAGTCCTAGGAAAGGGAGAAGAAAAAAATCTAAATTCTCAAAATTCTGGTAATTGACAAATCTCTTCTCCCTTTTTAGGTACAAGGAGAATTTTGCCTCCTCTTCATTATTCAGTGTGAAAGGGTGTTCTTTAGAAGTCTGGGTTTTTAACATCTTCTTACGAAATTTCTTTTTTTCACATTTTTGAGGACAAATTTCTTAAAAGTATGCATCTTGGACATGGAGTATTTAGTGCTTATTTGAAAACTTGCTTCTGCTTTTTAGCAAGTTCCCTCTATGTGTCTGACAACAAAAAAAAAGGACTTGAAATTATTTTCTGACCTGTCAGATGGGAAGGCATTCTGCAGCATTAAAGCATTATGGGATGGCTTTATATTCAATAGGAGGACACAACTTGAAGTGTCTGTGGAGCCTACATACAAGAGCTCTGGAATAATTTGGGCAGTTTATGTTAGATTATCTGTCATGCCAAAATCTTCTAGTCTTACCTTGTTGTTTTGGGTTTGTGCAGCAAGATGTTGGTAGTAGGGGGCAGACTTTATTTTATTTCTCATTATCTTTTTTGGTATTAAATTAAACTGATTTCCCTGAGTCAAGTCTGTTTTGCCCATGATGGCATGCAGTCAGTGATCTCTCCCTTCCCTTATCTCACCTACCTTTAATTCTATTTTCTCTCTCCTGTCCTGCTGAGCAGAGCAGAGAGAGCAGCTTTGGTGGGCACTTGGTGTCCAGCCAGGGTCACCCCAGCACACCTTGCTTTGGGGCAGATGTACCTTCTCTCCTGCTGAGAGATCATCTACCACTTGAAGGTGTGTGGGTTTTGTTTTAGTCAGGCCACAATAAGATTTTGAGAAGCTCACTCAAAATTATGACTTCCTATTAGTGAGATTTTCTAATCTGGGATCTATGGGCCCTGCGGAATGTAAGTTTTGTTTCACTTGCTCTCAGAAGTAAGTAAAAAATGAGAAAAATGAGAAAACAGATACAATTAGATTGTACAATCTCCTTTTACTTTAGTCCTCATGGTAAAGGAGGGGCTGCCCTCATCTATATTTATACCAAAAATGGTTCTCATGCTCAACAGACCACCATGCTCCTAATCCTCTATTTTTTTTCCAAACCTCATTCTCACCTAAGATGAAAGTATATTCTTTTACTAGGTGTGTGGTGTGTGTTGTGAGCTTTTTTTGTTTGTTTTTGCTGGTGTGTTTTTGTGGGGTTTTTTGGCAGAACTATGGGATTTACTAAGTCAGCAAGACTTTTTGTACATTTGGGGATCAGTGGAAAGAAAATGCTATTTCCACTTGGTGCTATTTCAGTGGATTAGGCAGTTCTTCAAACATAAATATTAGCTTGTGTGATAATACCTCAAGGTCTCCCAGCTTCCTTGGTGCTACCTGAGATCCTTGCACATATTTTTCATCATAGCACTCTTGAGGTAAAGGTCTGATACTCTACGTGATAAAAATTCTGCAATTATTACCTAAATTGATTCGTTTTCTAAAAGGCACTCATGTGAACCAAATGAAGACACTACTTAAAAAAAAAATTAAAATATAGTACCATACTAGCAGTGGTTCTAAAGGTTGCTGCGTTGTGTGAACACCTCTGCTCAGTCCAGCTTTCAGTGGGTGCCCAGGTTTAGCAGAAGAAGTGAAAGTAATTGGTCTGTGGCCCACTTATGACTACAGCACTGCAGGAAATCACTCAGGGGAGTCTGCTGGTTACTGTGTCTAGGAAAATTCCCAATGCTCCTTTGAAACACAACATGTCCTCCACTGGGAACATTCAGAGGGATTGTTTTAAAAAAACTTAGCAAGCATTTAATAGCAATGTATATAGTACTTCAACACATATTCTATAAGCTTCGCATCTGTTTTGCCAGTTCTAATTGATATATTCTAAGTGATTTGGGGTGTCTTCATTTATAAAGACATAATTTGTTTTGACACTATAACTAATGCCTGCAAATACTGTGCTCAAAACTGTTTCTTTAATATATTGACACTTCCCAATGTATAGAATTTTAAAAATTTGGCCTGAAGGTCAAATTCTCATATCTAAATAATTTCTAAATATTTAAGTAGTGGATTCAGTTTTGCATATGTCAAGGTAATAACCATACAGTAAAAATAGGTGATAATGTGAATATTAGAAGCATCAAGCACAAAGTTATATGCTTTAGTGAGAGCAGTTGTACATTTAAAGAATGGTTACTTCCTCTCTGTGTTTGATGTGTGATTACCTATTCTTTCCCAAGCATTATTCACTTTAATTGCAATTAAAAAATACAGGTTACATGTAACAAAATATCATCAGTGCTAGGTTCTTCCAGCACTTAGATTCCAAAATAATTGCCATTTCAGTGGTGATGAAGGGTAAAAAATTGACTCATGCAGTTCCTTTCCTTCTTTTGCTAGTGCAAGGCTCCATATATCACAAGATGTCCTTCTGCCTGACTGAGATGTTTCTGTGGTCTTTGAAGACCAACTTACGTATTAGAGGTAAGTTGTTATCTGTTACTAAAACAAATCATCAAAGCTTGTTGATGGATATTAAACTAATATAAAATTCTGAATACCCAAAAGAAGTTTTTTCTATACTTAGGAGCAATACAGGGTTTGAATTTGGTCAGCTTCTTTGCTTTTCTTGTCATGGAACTGGAGCATCCTTTCAAGTAAAAAAAATATTAAGATTATATTTGATTGTATGTATTTCCCTTCTCAGGAAGCTGTGGCCTACTTGATTGTGAACTTCAGTTTAATGGCTAGTTTGAGTGAATGATCCACAGTCAAGTGCACTGCAGAGGCATTGTAATTTGTACTCAATGTGAAACTAAAAGATTACTGCATGTTCTCAGTATTTTGCATGATTCCTTGAAATTTTATACTGACAAGGATATATTTGTCTTATAAATTGATTGTTCCAAAAGACATATGACTAAATCCTAGCCATGTATACATTACCTTTATTCATCTTGCCTAGCTATTCCTAAAATATAATTCTAAAAAAAACCCACTGGTTTAAAAGTGGACAATATCAAAAGATTATTTATGACACATCATGTCAATTGTACTGTACAATATTTTTATTGAAATATTATTTTGAATAATCAATTGATATTCAGCTGAATGTTATTACTCAAATATTGACTCAGTGTGCCTTGAGATCCCATCTTTGTATGAGAACTGTTCTATGACAACAATAACATCTAAAACTCAAAATCTGTATTTCATAGAAAAATCCAATGGTTTAAGTGAAAATACTGTTATGATTTATTGTAATTAAAGCTCTGCTGTGGAGTACCATGCCTGTTTGTCACTTTTGACCTTCTTGCTTCCATTTATTCATTACCTAGGTGCCTCATTCAAAAATTCTGAGGCAGAAGGGAGGATGATGTTCTAGTTTAAAACCTGCCTGCTTTTTAAGTGCCTTCCTACATTTTTTTCCATCTAAGGAATTTCTTCCGATGGAATATGCCTGTCTGACTTTAGGAGGACACAGATGCAGTGAAAAAATAATTATTTTAAAACAATGGAACATAGTGCTGTACTTAGACATGCCCAGTGGAGCTTGCCATGGCACCCCTAAGTGCTCACATGTCAGCCACATCAGGAACTGACTGGTGGGGTGGCAGTCCCTATGCAGCTGAAATATCCACGTTTCTGTGCCACAGGAACCAGCTAGATGATAATACCTGTAGATTAACAATATTGGATCCTTTGAAAGAGCAGCTTTATGAGTTCATGAATCTTAGAAAAAAACTCTAACCTGTTGTCTTTAACTCAGCTCTATCAGTTATCAGAAAACATTTTTAAGTTATTCCAAGATACACTTTTCACCATGATCCTTACCTTTCCTTGTGAAAGAACACAAAATATGCTAATTATGAAGGTGGTAAAAATACTTTTGCATGTGTGCAACTGGAAGGAAATCAAAGTGTATGTAAGGGAAATTACAGCTCCAAATAAATGGAAGGGCTTGTCACATCCTTCTTCATGCCTTCTCTGCTGGTTCTTGAAAGTCCCAATGGTGTTCAGGCTATATACTGTGCTTGTATTTTAACACCAAACACTGCTTTAGCAGGCGAAAATTGAGGTGCTGAACCTTGCTTTCTAAGTTGTGTTTTGTTTCTAGTAATTAATTCTGTTTCTAGTAATAACTTAATGTATTTACATTTAATTCTACAGATGAAGACATTGGGATCCACCAGTACTATGACAAGAAACAACCAGGTAAAATATAAATAGCTACAACTGAAACTGAACAAAACTTCAGGATGTTCAGTGTTTGACACCAACTGCTTGCTTTTAAAACTGCAGCTTCAAATTTCTTGCTAGTATATACCTCTGTATTTCTATGGAGTAAGGAAATACAGAAAGAGTTTCTGTCTCCAAACTTATATAGGAATAACTTTTTAAACCACAGAAGGGAAAAAAAAAAAAGGGAAAAAAATTCACATAAAACCAACTATTATGTAACTAAAAAACCTCTGTGGGATTTTACACTCTGAATTCTTACAGGGTTTAAGATATTTTGCGTTGTGTGGAGCCCAGGGCACGGCCAGGTGATCTTCGGGATCCCAGCAGAGGGTATCTCTGCCTGCCCTCTGGAGTGGCCATTTTGGGGCCAGCCATCCCTTTCCTTGATCTGATTAATCCTGCTGATCCTACAAGTTTCCCCACGGGCCGAAGGGGCTGTGGGGCTGGAGTTCCCCCCGTTCCACCCATCCCGGCGCTGTTTCACTGGGGCTGATGGACCCACGGAGCCGGCTCATTGCCGGCCGGGGGCTGTGTACAAATCACCAACGGGACAGGACTGTAGGAACGGGCCTTGAGCCGTTTTCTTTTCCAGCATCAGTCTCATTACATGGTTATGACAATGGGAAGATGCCAGCAGCTCACATCTCAGGCAGCAGACCAAGAACTTAATGTTGCAACTTACTTTATAAGTTTTTGACCAATCGCACAAAGCAAAAGCGTATTGACAGTAGTTCCATCCAATCGCTATAAGCACACTTACCTTCGGTTAAAACAACGCTTGCTTACTTTGAACACAATACCTGTTTGCAAGCCTTAAAACACAATGCACAGAGCTCCATTATTAAGCTTAGAACTTCCTAATATCTCACTAGATATATTTTTCTGCAGCTTAGGGAGTTATTCTAGACAAGCATTAATACACAGACCATTGTTCTATTTGTCCTTACTTTTCTACTTTTTACATAATTCTTCTGCTGACTTATTTTTTGGCTGCTGCTTAGCCCTAATCAGAGTTCTGCTGTCTCTGAGGCCTGCCTTTTGCAGCTTTCCCAAAACCCTCTGATTTTATGGATTCCCACACCGGCTCACCTGGCTGCTGCCTGGCGGGGCTGGGCTCGGTGGTGCCAGCCCGCCTGTGCGGCCGTGCCAGCCTTCCTTTCACTGCCAGGTTAAGATACCTGCCGTCCAGGCTGAAAGCACCGGGGCTGCCTTGATTGGCTTGGAAATTTCTGTGTTTTATCCAACTGTGCTGGTCTTCTTGCTAAATATTAATATTTGCTGACAGCAGTTGTAAGGATTAATTCATCTTTTCATCCTCTTTTCTTTAGCATCACAGATGAAGTACAGTTACTTAGAAGAGAAGCAAAAGCTAGCAGAATGTAAGGATATTTTCTGAGTTTCTTCTTACAGAAAGATCAAATGGCAAATTTGGATTGATTATGCCCCTAGAAGAGCATTAAAATAACCTCAGATTGCTTCCAATGTAACTTTCTGCACATGTCATCTAAGACTGATGATCACAAAACAATTGAAAATTTATTATTTTTCCTTCCTGGTATATTTGCAATCTGTATTTTTTTTTTCCCCTGTCACTAGGCATGGCAGTGTGTATTGCTTTTCCAGTCCATTGTCAAAAGGAATCACAAAAATAATCCAGATTCTTCCTTACAAAATTTACTTAGCAGATGAGCAATAAACATTTTCCCAGTCATCTCTGACCTTGCAACACCGACTGGCTTAAAACTGGAAATTGTAACTAAAATACTTTCAGCCAAATAGACTAATAATAATAAGTAATAATAATTCCAGACTAATAATCAGCTGCCTTCATAGGATGGTTTTAGCTTTGAAACATTTACACTACCCCTGCATTACCTGCTTAAAAGCAATTTCAGTTAATGCTATCACACAGCAGTACTGTGACAGTTAAAGACGTTTATATTAGCACAACTTTTCTTTAGCTCAAGTTTTACAACTCCTGCATTGCTCAGAGCATTCATTAATGTTCAGACATTATTACATGACAACTCTGAAAAATCTAATTGATTTTTTAGACAACTTCACAAAGCCATGTCTACGCTATTATCTTATCCAACTGAAAATTCCCATGGAATTGTGCATGCATACGAAGGCAAAATGTGTTCTGGAAGGATTAGTTCTTCCCATCACTGCAAGGTGTGTTTGGAGCAGGCTGAAGCCCCGCTGGGGATGGGTGTGAAGGTGCAGCCGTGTGGCAAATCCACACCGCTGCAGAGGATGCTGTGTCAGGCGGGGCCAGAGCGGCTCTGGGAAGGTGGGGAGGTGAGGGAGGGCTCTAGGCAGGGAGGAGCCTCACAGGTTTGCATCACTTGGGCTCAGTGTAGTGGTATCCCACAGGGCTGCATGTGTGAATGGAGGAGCAGGCCCAGATAACCCTTGTCACCAGCAGCCCCAGTGGTGCCTTTTACACGTGTGACAGGAAAGAGGAACTCAAGCTGCTGCACCTTGTGCCTGGGAATGTAGGGGTGCCCCTGGCGCAGAGCCTGCACAGCACATTTTGCACTGGGAAACTTTATTCACAGCTGTTGATTTGTACAGATAGTTTGGTATCTGTACAGGCAATTTCCCATTTTGCATATGTGGCTAAATATTCCAGTATTTATGAAAGCAGCCATTGAAAATGTGATCTTACATGCCTAATTAATATTATCATAACAGTTCCACCAACACTGGCTTCAGTCCAATGAAACACAAAGAGAAGTTGTATGCTGGTGTCCTCTTTTGTTGATGTATGAAATCCTTCATTTTTTCACTGTATAGCACTTCTATTGTAAGCTGCTTTTTGCAGGGAGGTTTAAGCACAACTGCTAAGTCATTCAGTCTGGAAATTGGCGTACAAACTGACAGCTTGGAGCTCAAAACTTTTCATCAGGTTTCCTTTAAATAGGAATAGATTATAAACAATGTGTTCTAGTTTCTCATGGTTTTATTGTACACTTATGAGCAGAAAACTGCTCACTTTTAAATGAAGAAATTTCACAAGTTATTAGAGCCTGATTCTCAGCCATGAAACAAGCCAATTATTGGCAACTCCAGAGGAAGCTTTGCCTCCTGGTTTCTAGAATTAATGTATTAGGTCAGGATTTTCACAAGAGTGTGCTGAACACTAATAAATTTGTTAAAGGACTTCAGAAGTCATGCAGCTTTTTCTTTGCTTGACTTGGCAGATTCTTCAGACCAAATTTGCAAGAACATCCTGTAAATAACTAGACTCTGTAAGTTATGGCATTCACATTTGCCTGTTGTTAATATTTCTATATATGCATATATTCATGCATATGTATTTTGCAGACAAGTTAGTGCCTGCTTTTTGAAATTAGGCAATGAAAGGTTAGTTCAGAAGAATACAATCTACTTAGGATGCTTGAAACTTGAAACTGAGTTAATATACTGAACAGCAGATACTTTTTCACTGCAAGTGCCTAGCAGCTGGGTAAGCTTTGCACACAATTGCCATGGGGAAATCATGGTCATTGTGGATAGAGCATGCCAACTGTTCCTATGATTGAGCCTTCCAAAAACAGATCCTTTGACAATAGAAACCATGGCCATTTCCTTCCAGCTGTAGGTAAGTTTTACATGTAATGCAACTCCTAGAAACCTTCGATTTGTGTTTACACAAAAAAGGAAGTTCAACTCATAGAACTTTTAAAAATGACACATATAAATGTGTGTTTGCACACACACACTTTATATGTATACAGTCACTTACATATACACATTTCTCTACAATCTTTATTTTTTCCCCCTCACTTTTATTTGACAGCTCGAGATTATCCTTGGATCCTGAAAACCAAGCGAGCGGACAAACTGCGAGACGCACTCAAGGAGGTAGAGGTATGGCTCAGAAAGGTTCAAGCACAGCAACATCTCATCTGGTTTTCAAACCTCTTTCAACAGCTTTAATTTTCATAAAGATCCAACTCTCCCAGTGATGATAAATGTGCTTTTGTCTGGTGGGCTCTTCTGAAACAGCTGCATCTTTGTGTGGCACTTTTCATCTGTAAACTGGAAAATCAGAAGTTTGTTAACTGATAGTGACAATGTGTGCTGCCAACTCCACTCTCTGCTTTCTGTTGTCCTTTAGGACTTAATGCAGTACAGTCCATGTGTGCTGAGCAAATGGAAGAACAAACATACCTGTCAGGTACAGTGTCATCAAAAGGTCTTGCAGTGTTCACTTGGTGGTGCTGAACAGCCATTCAGTGATGGGAGCAATAGTGTTAAAATGTTAACACTGAAGATCACTGGAGTTTTTTTACTATATGGGCCCTTGTTAAGTAAATTTGGTTTATTTAAATTTCTACCCTGAAAAACATTCTTCAAATAAAAAGCCTGGGGTTTATCAACACAAAGAAATTACATTAAAAGGCCCTGATTCTGTGAGATGATGATGGTGATGATTAGTATTATTATTGTTAATTATTGTTATTATTACTATTATTGTTTGGGGAAACTGAAAACATCCTGTACCTCAAAATAGCAAGCTGAGGGAACAGTTATGTATTAAAATATATAGATAGGTCTGGAATCTGTGTTATATTATTTTTATGTCTTAATTTTCTATTTGCCTGTCACAAATCTTTTTGCTTTATGCTTGTGTAATATGGAAGGAAAGTTATAACTCCAAACCAACAAGGTCATTAATCAAGCTATGGGATAAAAGAGATTGTGACATGTGGCACACAAACAGTTATGTCTCTGGCTATATGAGTTCCACATTTTGTGTACAAGAAACCCTTTTTCACATCCTCACTAAGAACAGCAGGGCAGGGAGGAGAGCTGAACATGAAGTGCTCCACAATCATGTGCTTCTTCTGAAAAACATATGTAGTGAATTTTATATGTTTATACAACCTTCATGAGGAAATGCATCATATTTGAAACTGCTTTGGCATGGGGAATACTTGTCAATATTACTGTTTCAAAAAAGGAACTTTGTCTTCTAGCCTTTATGCTTTTCAGACTCATAATTTTTTCTTCTTATTCAAGTAGTTCCAAATGTGTGTCAGCAGAATGATTGTTAAATATCCAAACACTGTGCAGCTAAAATTCCAGAAATGCCTTTGAGAATAGCAAAATTTTTAAATGCTTGACATGCCAAATGGTATGTAGTCTTTTCATATCAATAATAAAAATATGATTGTCTAAGCTATATTTGCCTATCAGATCTTACTGCTAGTAAGTGTATATCATTCACATACAAATTACATAGTATACATCTGTGAATGTTAATCTTCTAGAGCTTATTTAAATATTAATTGCTAATTTGGGGGAATCATTTTTTCCTGTTATTATTGTTCTGATTAGGAAAGGAATTTGGTTAAGAAACACCAAGTCAATTAGCTGTGAGCACATTCATTTGCATCCCAGTTTGATGTCTCTTCATTTGCTTTCCTTGTCCATTCTCCCTTTACCATTTTCCTTCCCCTCCCATTCATCAGCACCCACCTGCAGTGTGTACAGTGCATATTTTGGAAAAGTAAACTTCTTGCCGGGATGTGTTGTCCTGCCTACACAATATAACACCTCTGGCTGACTATCAGTTCTGTATAAAACTATTCTTTGTTTTTTGACTTCACATCCTCTAAGTTATTTCAGGCTTACATCAACATGAACGAGACAAATGCAATTTAACTTATTTCTTCTATGAGATGAGAAATAAAAGAGATGGGTGTTTTCATCTTAGTGTATTAGGTATTGAACCATGTAATGGGGTAGTTTAATAAATTGAGTATTTGGGATGTTTTTTCAGATGGCTTCTAAGGCCAGAGTATAAGTGATGGTACAGGTTATAACATAAACCAGTGTGAAAGTTATAGATAAAAATCATAGTAATTTCTCTGTCCTTAAATTCTGCTTTTGGTTTCTCAATCACAAAACAAAATGGTTTTGTTTAATAGTGACTGATTATTGAAATCTCCAACAAGGGTTAGAGTGTTTTGCCAAAACAATTGTGTTATTCCACTTTCTGTCTTCCTGAAAATAAAAGACCTCCAACAAATGAAAATAAAATAGAGAAAAATTAATCATTTGGAAGAGTCTAGAACAGAAAAGCTGTCTTCTATCAATTTTGATGTCAGATGGTTTGTTTTTCTGCTGCTCATTTGTCTTTGAGCATTTGGCAGCAATAATTGAACTGTCCCTCTTTGATGCAAATGTTCTGAAGCTTCTGGAGAATATGTTGTATATTTATTTTTTAATTCTAAGTAGAATACTAATTAACTGTTTCAGCAGAGTGTGCTTACCATGCAATGGTGTCATCTGTGGCATAACACTGCTGTATTCACAGCCTTTTTTGGATGAATACCAGAGCTAGTGGGAAGAGTCCACATTTGCATTAACTTTGGAGAGTTAAAGCAGTGTGTCAGACAAACAGCATGAAGAACATGTATAAAATTACCTTGATTTTCATAATTTCAAGATTTGGGGCTAAATTTGAGCATATGGTTTTAATCATAGTATTTGTTTTTCCTTTGTTTTTAGTAGCAATGCAAGGTCAAATAAACTTTATAGAAATTAAAATAGTTAATTCAACAGCCACATTTCCCCATTTTAATTAAATGTTATTTATATTTGAATCGGCCATACCTGTAGCTGAACCAGAAGCAGTTCCCTTTGTATTGTAATAACAATGTGCCATCCAGAAACTCACTGGCTGCTGTACCTTGAGCAAGACAAATGGAATGAAAACTGAAAGGTGATGTAATGAAAACAAAACTATACTTTGAAAGAGTAGTACGATTTCTCTCAGATTTTGTGCAAAACAATCATAGGGCTGCTGCCAGTGTGCCTTCTGTAGCCTAAATATACAATATACCACTATTCCTAATCCCTCAATCTTCCTCCAGCACTTCCATATTAGAAGTGGCCCATAGGCAAAAATTGGGGTCTGTAATTTTAAATGTGCATCTGCTAAAAATAAGCATGCAGTCATGTTAACTGTTCATGTGCAAATGACCAATTAGGTTTCATGCATATGCCCCAATGAGAAATCCAGTTGTTTTGCCTGCAGATTATCTTGTCCATTGCGTGAGTGTGTTTCTCAAAGTTGGCTTTTCTATATGAGTTTGCCGAGAAGACCTTAATGCTGGCCTGTGTTTCTACCTTTGTTAGTATTTAATTTTATGTATCAAAATTTATCCTATTACTTTTGGGTTTTTTTGGTTTTGTTTGTTGTTGTTGTTTTGGTTTTTTGGTGTTTTTTTTTTTTGGTGTGCAATCAGTGCAATAGAAGTTTCATATTTACTTCCTTGTCCATTGCCAAAAAACCCCCAATGACCTTTATTTTTGCAGTCCTAAGTATACATTCCACCACTTCTTAGAGCTTCTGAAATAGATGATGTGCCAGTTCATGTAAACATAACCTAGACAGTACAGGGATTTTTATCAAGGAGCTTGCTCTCATATTTAAAAGAGCTTAGTTGAGTCCTAAAGGACTGAGGTCTTCTCTTTAGCTGTGTTCCAATAGGATGTGAACCCACACCATTTCTGTATGGTACTTCTGATCCCCAACTTTGATGACCTGTGTTGAGTTGCTGAAATAATCCTGTAATCTTCAGCTAGCTGATGTCAAAGGAAAATAAATAGACCATAAAAGAAGGATGACAGGAAAAAGACAAGAAGTCTTTACAATAAGATGCCACTGTCCTCCTCAGCTTTCCCTGCCAAGGAGTAATAACCTAAGGAATTAATTTTATCAGTATTGTTGAGTTTACTCAGCTCAGATCTGGCTGCTTCTTGTCTTTGTCTCCTTCTCTAATTCTTTGGAATGCTTTTAAGTTTTGCCACAAAATCATGAAATCTTCCTATGAAATGATGCCATTGCTTAAGGTTTGGTTTTACAATATAAAGCAATAAAAATAAATGAGATCTAGCTGAAACATTTGATTTCCAAATTTTTTTTAGTTTTACATTTGCATTATGATGTTGAATTAAGCACATGCCAACATTGTTATACAGTTTATTGTATAAAAGCCAAGCAGTAGCTATGAATCATATCTGTTACCTGCTAATGAAAAAGATTTATGTATACTTTGCTAAATTGTTTTGATTTCATTTAGTTGTATTTGTATTGCAATTTACATATGTGTATAAATAGTTTTTCTGTTGCCATCGTCGACATACTTGGAACTGGATTCTGAACTGAGCTCCACAGCAATACTTTCTTGCTTGTTCTGTCAGCTACAATGCCCATTAGCAAACTGATTTAGCAAGGCACATGGTGACGTAGCACATTTGATATCAAAACCAAGACATTCTGTCTAGAATACATGAGAAGCCAGCACCCATCCCCAATTACTAAGAGGAACACTGCCCTCATATTAAATTCTTTTGGTTGCTTTTGATCACAACCATTAATGTGTTGTGTGGTTTTAGATATTTGGAGCTAGAAGTACAAATGCATTGATTATTGTGAAACAGTAACGTGTAACAACAATAACTTCATCTGTAATAAGGCATGCAATGCAGTAATTATGGTGGGGTGGCTAAGAAAGCAATCTGGAATGAAGAGGTGGGGAAAAACCCTGGGAACCTGCTTGAACAAGAAGTGCTTTGCAATTCTCTTCTTCTTTTGCATATTCCTTTGTCAGTTGGGCTCTCTAAGGGAAAACAGTTTGCAGCAATATTTTTTACAGGCATATTTTCTTTCTCTTCCAATTTTAATCAGATAGAAGCAAATCCTGGCTTTTCTCCACAGGTATCTTTTTAGGTAGAAGAGCTGATAAGCAGCTGAGCTGCATGAATGAGAAGTCAAGAGCTCAGGCTTCTGAGGATAAAGGGATCTGCTTAAGTAGATGCTTAAGTTGTACTAAAGTCCATAACTCATGAACTTGTACTTAAGTCTTTTGCTTAATAAAAACTATCTCAAATACATATTAGAGCACTTTGCTATTGGAGAAGGGAAGGGCTAAGTCTTCCCTTGAGTATCCTCTGCTGGTTATGCCTTTCTTGCTCAGTGGAGAGCAATTTTTGGCATATAAAATACATAATCCTTTCTATCAAAGTCTTCACATTCAATTCCTCCGTAACAGAGAAATTAAGTGGCCCTTCCATCCCGTATGGAGAATAACCAGGTGCCCAAACATTTTACTCAGACTGCATTTAAGTACAAAGTCTCTGCCTTATTCTTCCAATAGGTATGAAGTCATGCTTTCATATTTTGTTTAAGAACACCTTGTGACTGTTTAAGCTCTGGAGATAGCTCTTCTGATTTTATTTTTCCCATCACAGTGCTTCAATCTGAAAAATTTATGATGTGTTTCATCATTGTGGATTTCTTTCCCTAATTTAATATCTGTTAGATGGAATGATGTAGTGCCTTGTGTAAATAATGCCTCTTACATTGGCTTTTATTCCTTAGCATTTATGGGCTGTTCCCTTAGGAGATGGATCACTGTGTATCCCTGTTCAAGCCAAGTTTGCAGTCTTCCCTATTTGCTTTATATTCATTCATGCTTCTGACTGGACTGCTCCCATCTACCAAAATATGAGCTTAACTAGGCAAGCTTAGTTGTGACAGCACCAAAATCTTATTATCATAGAACAGTCTTTGCACAGACTACACAGAATGTAGCAAATTGAAATAGCTGTTTCAACTTGAGGACATAAATATTTTCTCTTTTATGGAATATTTTTGATGAAAGATAGCATAGAATCATAGAATCATTTAGAGTTGAGAAGACTCTTAAGAGTGAGTCCAGCTGTTAACCAAATGCTCCAAAGTTCATCACTAAAACTTGCCCTTAAGTTCTACATCTACACATCTTTAATACCTCCACGGGTGGTGACTCTATCACTGCCCTGTTTTCTTTAAGTGCCTGCTTGTACTTCGTGGTAAACTCTAAGAACTAATTTTTAAAAAACCTCAGTTCTAATTAAAAGCATTTTTAAAGGGAGATGAATGAAATACTAACCTTGCATGGCAATTTAGTGTGTAAAGTCTCTGATTAACCTTTTAAATTTAAACTCTAAAATTTCCTAGAAGAATGAATTTAAACCTATGGACCAACCACACTAAGTTATTATAACAACAATTTGTTAAAATACAATTTAAATTTCCCAAATATCTCAGATTTCTGAGGAGAGTAATGAGAAAGAATGTTTTGCTGTAAAATGAAAGAAGGGAGCACAATGGGAGAAACAACAGAAGTAATGGAAATGATACTACATTTACCTACTATCTGTAATTCTGTCATGCAATAGTGATAGCACAGAGATCTGTACAGTACTGAAAATCCATAACATTGGTTTAACTTTTTAGGTGGAAGACCAGTTTTAACCAGTTTCATAGATGTAAAGCAAAGCACACCCATTAGCACAACATTTTATATTTATTTAAATGTCTTGTCATGAAACACTGGAGAGGTTTTCATTGATTTCTATTCTAGCTCTGTAACAGGCGTGATTTATGCCATTACCAGAAAATTAATACATAGGCATAAAGTGAATTTGCACACCAACTGCACCATCCCTCTTGTTGGCACATAACACTGTAAGATTGGGGGGTTTCACTCTCCTCTATCAGGCTGATATCCATTCAGTTATTCAGAACTGAGCTTTCTAGAGTATTTATGTAATTTTCTTCATTGTTGCTTACATCACAGTGTGGTAGCTCCTGGGTTTCAACCCTCAGTGTTCCCAGCAGGTTTTTTGGACAGTTATGGACTACAGCCAACTGTAGTCAAACCTTGCTGGACTTCATGTTACCAAGTTGGAAATAAATTGTGATTTTATCTAATCTAACTTCAATGTAAGGACAAATTGAAGTTTTGAAAGATTGTAATAAAAGCTGCATGAGTGTAAGCGTGTCTAACATTTTTACTGGGACAAAACCTTAAAGGACATCTGTCATGATAAGGAATATTGAAATATTGACTATATATATATATATCAAATGAATGTATGATTAGACTTTGGCAGGATGGGAATTGATCCTTTGTTCTTATAAATTCATTTCACATCACAGGGTTTTATTTGTTTCTACTTCACACATTACTGGAATTTGTTTGTTAAACATGTTGGTTAAAGGTGCTAGGGCAGGAAAACAATTTGTTTAAATACAACTTGTTCTGTTCTTTGGAGAGCACAGAGGTATAGTAATATAGCAAAATAAGTATAAATGAGAATTTCCATAACTAATTATTGAGAGCAGAGCACTGCATAAGGGACATGCCCAATTTCTGTTCCCCATACTTTTTATTTATTATACAATCCAGTGGATTTCACTGCAAGAAAATTCTAAAGATTATATCATGTTTGTCTCACAGCTCCAGCACAGAACAAACAGGGAATTTTTTTTCTGCCAAATTCTCCTACAAGAACAAGTGTTTCTTTAGTTGTTAAGTTTTCTAAAAGTACAGGGATTTCTTTAAAAATCTACTGTTAGGTAGAAGTAAGAGCTGGAGTTCCAGATTCCTGGCCTTTGGTGGACCCTCTGGACTTGTCTGCAGAGGTCTTTCCACAGAGAATTCCTTTTATGGGCTCTTATTTTCTGAATTCCTGTACTGTAGTAGTTGCATTCAGAAAATGACTAATGGTTTAATTATGCAAAAAGAAATGTTTTTCATAACTCCTCCCACTGTGTAGTCTCTCTCTCATAGAAGACATTGCATAAGAAGGAGCTGATAAATACTGTGACTTAGTCTTCGAGATTATATGTATAATTTAATTTAAATTAATTTGGCATGAATATTCAATTAACTCTGAAATAACCCTGTCCAATAGCTTAAATTCTTTCTTTCTAAGAGAGACATTTAAAACATTATGTCAGCCAGTGAATGGATTTATTGGGAGCTCACAGCTATCTCTGTGGTAGGGCACAATTATTTATTTAAACAATATATGAATGATCAGAAATCACAAGAACAGAAAAAACGTGGTGGTTTTAATTTGTGATAATAACATAGAATTATATTAAACCCTACTTTATATTTTTTTACGTGCAGGCTATGCAGTTTATACAGAAAATATCAGATCTATGGATGATAGAGTGATCAGTGTAATTAATTTGCTTTTTCAAAACAGATTTTTCTTCTTTGTTTTTAACAGAAAAATTCAGTATATTTTATGTAACATTTGGGGACTTAACTACTTCTTCAAGTGTTCAGCAATTGTAGTTCTTGTACCCTTATATTTTAGTGTTGTGTTACATCTCTCTCTTTCATTGAAAAAGCTTTCAAAGCCATTATAAGACATCTTCACATCAGTGATAATTCATTTTTGTAATTTTGAAAATTAGATTACTATGTAATGGACGGCTGCTAATATGTACCTTGGAAGGTTTCACTTTATTCATGATTTTTGATGTCTTGTTTTCTCACTCTTTGGATTCAGCTCCTCTTTCACTCAGGTATTTTGGTGTCCCTAAGCCTTTCTGGGCCACAGCTGGAGAAGGTGGTGATTGACAGGACCCTGGTGGGGAAGCTCATCTCCGACACCATCAGTGATGGTAATTACACCCATGTGCAAATCAATTGCCTGCATTAACAATAGAGTAGAGAAACAGTATGTCAACAGATAGACTAATTATTGCCACTGGGGACTTGCAAACACAACAAGTAATTGCATGTAATGCTATAGTTACAACCCTCAGGACTAAGAGCACTTTAAGAATAATATTTAACATCAAAGTTTTCAGGCTTGTCAAATGCTGCATGGGTTTCTAAAACCCCGTTTCTTACACACTGTAATCACTGTGAGCATGCCATTTGAACGTGTCATGTTTATTTCGTAAGCGGGAGAATGGGACAGAACCAAACATTAGCCAATTGAATAATTGCATGGGATAGTTATTATTAAAGTTGTTATTAAAAAAGGCTGGATAACATTGGTTATGTGGAGGTGTTCTGATTTAGTTTCTCGATACCCAGAATCTCCCTATTGTTATTAACTAGTGACTGCTAAAATTAAGTTTTCATTTAATGCAGAAGGAAACTTACAAAAGTGTCTCTGTTTTCCACAGCTTTATGATATGACTCATAACGTTGAGAAATCAACTGGTATCTTGGCTTCTGCAGAAGCAAGAGTATGAAATTTTGGTGTAAGCCATGTTACATGTGCACTACCTTCCAAATTTTTTAAGAGTAAACCCACATTACATCCTTCTAGTAAGAATATGCACTTAGTTCAGGTTTGATCTTTAATGATTTAATTTTGTCTCTACCCAGGCATCTATTGAATGTTGGCCTACGTTTTAAGAAACTCCAATACTGTGTCTCACTGATCTTGTCTTATCAATGCATGGTAGTTTAGTCTTGAAAAATTAATATTGATATAACTATGTTTGTAGAATCTTTACTTATTAAAAAAATTTAACCCAGACCTCATTTTTTATTAACTAATTACACAGAGAGAATAGAACACATTTATTATCTTGTCTTCCTTTTTTCACTCTCCACCTTAATTACTGGACTTCTAATTACATCTATGATTTTTTGCACTCTGCTTCTGGGGGGAGTTTCCTACTTTCAGGTGACAAAAAGTAGGAAAGCATGTAATCTAAGGTTATTCCTAAATTAAAGTAGTTTGGGGAAATTATTTTGAATACTTCATCTTTAAAAAAACAATAAAAAATAACATATGTTGGTTATGCCTTACTTTGACTTAATATGTCATAGAAATATTTGTTCAGAAAATACTGCTAACTAAATGAGCTTACAACTAAAACAAAAATAAAGCAAGAAATATGTTTTGCTGCTTTTGGACAACTGTATTTATTATATAAATAACATTATATAGTGTTTTGTCCTTGTTTTCACATATGCAGGATGTCCTTAAACCTCCATGTTTGCTGACAGACAAGTCTGTAGGTGAAATAAAACTGCCTCTGTTCAGTAAAAGCAAGCCACTCAATAACTTTCATTGCAATACAGTTTTTATTTAACAATAACAATAAAAGGAACATTAAAAGAAGATGCTTTTGTTGCCCACACAAATAGCGCTCAAAATACAAATTTTTACACTGAACCATCGTTGCATGAGAAACATGAGATAATGTTGTCCTAGAGGAAATTAATTTTAATCCAAAGAAACAGCACATCTTTCCAAATCTGGCTTCAAGTAAGGGTTGTGATTATAAAGCTGGCCAAGCTACATTTAGCACAAGAAGCTTGTATAAAAACAATAGTTCTTACTTCAGCAATTGTGTATATGTAGAAATGGATAAGGGTTACAATCTGCCAGAATTACTTATGAAATTTTGTAATTCTCATTTGGAGTAGCATGTCTTCTTAACATTTGGAATAAAGGTCAGATTGTGTGCACAAAATACAGAATTACTACTGTTTTTATAATCCTCCTACATCTAAGAAAGTGCTCCTGATTCTTATTATTTATAAGCAAAATTTCATCAGCATCTGAAGTGTGCTGCAGCTCATCTTTTATGCAAACTGTGTATGTGAGGACATCAAAATATTTTAACGGTGTGCATGCATATTGAGGATACCATATTCAGTGGTTTTCAATTTTCATGTGTTTGCAGGATCTCAGTTATACCTTCTGAATCACCTTATCAGATGCTTTATCACCTTTTTTTTTCTTTTTCCAAAAAAGCTAATGTTAATGTTACATTTCAAAGGCAATTATTTGGCTCTAAACTCTACCCTTTAGCATTTGCATACCAGATACTTCAGAGTTGTGCCAGGACATGACTGTTGGAAAATGCAAGTGGTTATAAATCAGACTAAAGGAAAGCAAAGCTCAGTAGCTAGTTTTTCATGCTTATATGTAAGACTATACTGTCAATCTACTTAAGGATATGTAAAATTTGGATTTAAGAATCTGGGATATAAGTAATAAATTTTATTTTTTTAAATTTCTTTTTCAGAGGTTGTTCCACAGAGGGTTGTGTGTTTGTTTCTAAATCGGGTTCCACTTTAATTGGCATTTTCCTTTTAAGAGAGGTTTCTGAGTTTACAGTCTGAGCACAGCTTCATTTTAAACCGTCAGTGATCTGGTACTACTTACCCCAATTACTCATTTCACACTCAGACATCTCTTCAGCTGTGGGTGCTGCTTGAACAACGGGGTAACTCTTGGGAAAAATTCTCAATACAATTTTCTAAGTAATTTTCATTGACAGAGTAATCACTTTTATATTGAACTAATTTGGTCTAGCACCCCCTTATGGTAACAGTGGGGATTCCACTGAGCTGTTCCAGACTCCAAGCGAGTCTCTTCCATCTTGATTACTTGTATTGTTTGGGTACCCCCATGTGAAGCTTTCAGTGAATTCATAACTCCTCTAAAGCCTTGTCCTACATGTTACAGCCTCCTTGGTGTCTGCAGCAGCACCAGGAAGCTTGCAATGTCAAAATACCAGATACACCCCAAGTACTCATTTGCATTCATCACCCTTAATGCTAAGCTATATGAGGTCCATTTACAAAATACTGGTGGATGCAACCATAAGAAAAAAAAATACTGAAGGCTGAATACTGAGATGAAAATTAATGTGGAAGGGCATAAAATGTATATTTGAATGTAGTGACATTTTGGTATGAGATAATTTATTCAGGTGTATGTAATCAGAGTATTCTATAGGCTTTATTTCTCATTTCCAAGAAGGTGCTGATAGGATGACACACTGATATGTTTTAGGACATTACAGGGCTTTCAGTGTGATATTTAAGGCACTGTCTTGAAAAAAAATTGCTTTTTGCAGCATCTCAGTGGAGGGTTCACTACTTTGTTTTGTTCCTAGAGACAGGTATTACAGTGCTGACAATTTTTATTTGGTTTTTTTTTCAGCTGTTCTTACAGACAATTTCATCATCTTGTCATTTGAGGACCATAACCAACTCTGCTTTATTCAGTTTACAAAGATGATGGATTCTCCTGATGTAAACAAAAGACTGGAAAAACTCTCTTCTTTGGACTTTAAGGTATAGCTGCCAGTGGTGACTGCAAATATTGCGGGAATTATACATCATGTATCACTGATATTGTGTAGCCACATAAATTGCAAACCTTAATATAATTGACCAGAGCAGCTCAAACTCTAAAAATGGCAGTTACTGAAAAGGCAAAAAAATTAGAATGGCATTCTGAGTTAAAGAATTAAAATACTGTGCCAAGAGATCCAGATTTTTACTGTGTTTATTTTCAGGCTCAGACACACATTTGAGTTACCCCTGCTTGACGGATTACCTTGTGTCCATTGAGCAGCAGTAAGTGACCCTTGGCACATTCTTGGCATCTAACAAGCATGAAGCAAAGTCTGTAATGGTAAACCTCAGTGTAAAAGATTTAAGTTAATGTGTTTTACCTCTTGTGTGTTGTGGGCTGACAACACACATGGTCGCTTACTGTGTCTCAGCTGATAGACACAAACACATGAAGCTCTGATAATTCAGTCATCTGTCTGAGGTCCAAGACTTTTGTCATTCTTTGCAGAAATACTTATTTCCCCACTAGTTACATTAATGGTGTTGGTGGGACAACAACAAGTTGCTTTTAGCATTAAGCCACTGAGTAAGGAATCAAGACATAGAAGCTGAGTTTCCCACCACTGGCCAGCTGTGTGTGTGACGTTATGCAAGTGACTTGGTGTCTCAGTTTAAATAGTCCTTTTTTGCAGCCCTTTTTGTGGGGGTGTGTCTTCACTACAGTGACAGCAGCAGTGGAAAGGTAGCCTAGACAGAGCTGAGCTGAGCTTTAAACTGCCCAGTCTGGAGATCAGTGGAAACCAGCTCATCTCACGATGGGTTGGGCTGGGTAGACGTAACTTATTTCAACCATAAGTACTTTGGCATCAGGACACCAGTTCCTTAGGTGGAAGTGCTTGGTACTACAGCATTATGAAAAAATAATCAGCCAAGGCAATTAACTTTGAACAGTTGAAGTAGGGAAGGGGCTGCATCCAGTTCACTGAAAGAACGAAGAAGGGTCAAGCCTTTTCCCAAGAAATGCAGAGAGATGTTGTGAGCAAAAGAGAGAGTTTGTATTTATTTCAGACTGGATAAACATTAAAGAAAACAATATTGTGCTAGCAAATATTTTCCCCTTGACATCCCCTCAGTAATTTACTTCCTCACATAAGGGAGCTTGCATCTGCAAGGCAAGCTCTTTAAGGATATGTTTAATTTAAGTTTTGCCATAATGTGTTTTAACTTGCTTGGTAGAAATACTTTCTGCTAGGATTAATATCTAATACATTTTCCAGGCTGTTTCAGTTCAGGGCTTCTTTTCAGCAATGGCTTGTGTTTGCAAGATTGATCCAACCTCTATAACGTGGATTTGAGACAGTTCACTGTTCACTGGGAACTGAGCTGATACATACTTTACTTTAAAATGTTGTGCCTTGTGCCTGGCCTGTGGTGTTCATTGAGGCTGTGCTTTGGGAGCGAGCCTGGTGTGTGGTGGGGCTTTTTTCTTAATAGCACTAAAGTTTAACGAAGAAGCTGTGGTGAACTGCCTTTGTCACTGAAGTGTGAGGGCCACAGCTCCTGATTTAATGTTTAGAAAAACCAGAAGTGTCTGCCGCACTCCTTAATAGGGTTGTTAAGTTCAGTTCTTTGCTGACACAGCTGAGCTTCTCAAAACACCTCCATGCTCAACATTAACTTTGCTTTCTCTTGAAATCAGTGGGAATCACTATGGAACGTTTCTCCACCAGCCAAAAAAAGGCATTTGCATTTTTTAATTGAATGTTCTTTTGTGTGAGGCTTGCTAGTTAGGCAGCTAAATATAATTTTTATTATCTTCAGAATTGCACCAGTGTGAGACTGCAGAAAATATTATTCACTTCTGCAATAATATTGTGTCAGCTCTCTGCATTGATTTACTGTTCTTCATGGCTGATTTTGGTCAAACCTCAAAAGCTGGAAGATCACAGACATAGCAGTAGTGTCACTCGCAGTAGAAAAATAAGATGATCCTCAATTGCAACTCTGCAAACTTGTAATTGTATGTAACAATATGTAACAATAACAAATGTTGTGGGTTTAGGGGAAAAAAAAGGTTCTTTGTAGTTGGGGTTTTGTTCAAGAGAAATTGAATGAATAAGGTAGCGTGCACTGTTATAGAACTCACACAGGATTAAAATCTGGAGCCAAGATTCAGGAAATTTGATTGTAACCTTCATTTCTGCCTCTGACTTTTGGCATAGTCTTGAGAAATGTAGTATTTGGTTTACAGTCCCATTTCTACAATGAGGAAAGTGTTTGTAATGATATAATTAAATTTCTGTCATATTATCATTGTAATGATAAGCAACCTCACATTGTTCAGTTTCCAGGCTCATGGTGGGCAAAATTGGCAGCAGTACTGGACTGCCAGAGTTCTGTGAATAATAAGATCAAGTCAACCATGCTTTCCTCCTCACAGTTTGATATTTATCCAAAAGTCGAGTTTTTTATGCAATGCATACCTAAATGAATGAATTAATCTCCCTATGCTCTTACTTTCTAATTGATACCACCTTGAATTGTATTTGCACTTTGAAGCAATAAAGACTTACTATATGAATCACTACAGTCTTCATGACCAGCAAAATAGAAAACCAACTATTATTATTTACCTTTTCTCAGTGACATGAGTTCATGTTTGAGAGTGACATGTCTAATGCAAGACATAAAGGTCAACAAAGATTTGTGGCTGTTATGACATGTGTGATTGTTAAGAACAGTTAACACTACAATACAGGACTAATTGATACTTGTGTTGTCACCAAATTAGCTATTCTAATTCAAGTAACAGCTACCTCTTAACTATTGTGTATATTTTATCTTTACCCCTGAAAATATTTTGACCAGTAAAACACAGGATATTCTAAAAATATTGACCTTTTTCAAGTTTTTCCTGTCTGGTTTTTTAATCCATTTCAATTTACTGAAGGAGACAGAACAAGGAGTTAAATGTTTACCATGAGAGAACAACATTGGTAATTACTTTGATTTCAGTTCCTTTTTATGTGTATTCATGGGATGAAGAGGTCAATAATATTATGACCATGCAAATAGAAAAGGGTTCTTTTTGACCATATAAAAAACAGCAAAGGATTATTAAAGCATTAACCTTGATTTTAATGGCCTTGGTTGAGAGCTGAGATCACAATTTGGATGAGCCTGATTATTTACTAAATACAATACATAAATGCAACGGGTTCTTAACACCCATTGCACTCTGGCATTATCGCATTACTGCCAGCCTTTGTTGCCTTGCAGACAGGAATATGAAAGCAATCTGTCATGTAGTGAGACTGGCTCCAGAAGCATTTCTCTGATAAGAAGACCCCCTGCCCTTTGCTAGTGTCTGGTCCAGTAGGCTTAGCCATGCGCTTAATCCCCAGAAAGTGGTTCGATTATTGCTGACCAGCAATGGCAAGATAGTTTTTTTTTCCCCTAGCTATCAACCTTCCATTAATTCCTTAAGCAGAAATGCGGTGCAATCTATATTTCCTTGGCATGTGTCACCCAGATGGTGCACTGCTCATGTTTTCAAATAACCATGCTCCAAATAACAGAGTTTGAATAATAAATTCCACAAATCCTTCCTGAGAAAGAGGCACAATTCTCAAGAGCTGCATAAACTTTACGCATGATGCTGTAGCTCATCCACATTATGCAGAAAAGTATATGTTCTTTTGCAAAGCGGATGTTTGTGTTTCCATCCCTTAATTTGGGGAGGAAGAAGAAAGATATATGTTTGCTCAAATACTGTAGAATATATTTAATATTTGATTATGTCTTAAACACTAGCCTTAGCTCCGTGGTCAGCTTTGCAGAACTTGTCATTTAATATGGCTAAGCTTAAATCCTGTGTGGAGGTCGATGCTGTCAAGCAAGCATGACTGTACATTTTGGTATTGATTGGAGTCATTGCAGTAAATTCCTTCTTAACTCATATTCCTTTCCATCCCAATCCCCTCCCCACAGATAAAAGAGTGAGCATGTCTTTCTGTCTGAGGAGATATTTTTCACGTTTACAGACAGCCTCTATGAAGATATATGTACGCAGAGCTCTGTGTATATATACATTCTTTCTCATACATCCAAAGTAATTCCTCCCATTTGCTCCTACCATGCTATTTTATCACCTCCAATATTTCCTAAATTTTTTTCTTCCCTCAGATTTCTTATGTTGATATACTTGGACCAGAAGGTAGAAGGATGAAACGTCACCTGGCAATAAACTGTATGCAAGATCTGGTCATTTGCTGGTGGTCAGCAACCAGTGATGGAGCATGGCCTTGGTCTCCTATTTCCTGTCAGAGGGACAGAGCCAACCTATTGCTATTAGGCTGTGCACATGGCAAATTGGAGGTAAAGTGATGAACTGTCTTGTTACATTAATTTTTGAATTTGCTGAAGAAAGAGCTATTCCTCTTAAATGCATATTCGAGTAGATATAAAGAACAGATATGATTAAAACAGAAGACAGGAAAATCAGCCATGCTAATAGTAAAAACAAATGTTTGTTATTGAACAGAAAAGCACGTTATTTACTTTGTTTACTATTTTCACATCAAACCTGAGAAATATAGCCAGGAAATTAGGTCTTTATCATGAAACAGCTTTGTGCTGCTGAAACTGAAAATAGAAGTGTCAGAGTTCCACTAGAAAACTCCAAAATTAATTAGCAATTGTAACTGTTGCATGTATGTCTGTTGCAATTATTTTACATTGTCTGCAATGTTAACTGATAGACAATTTGCATCTATTTCAAGTGTTTTTCATAAAATATTAACTATGCCCAGATGGTGGTTAAATTTTTGTTATGAGTATTGGTCAAATGAGGGACTGATTTTTTTTCTCAAAGGGAAAGTTAAAACACACTATCTACAGGTGGGATGTAAGCTGTGAGTTAGGACAAAGCTACAAGTTGACCCCCCCTCCTGACACCTGCTTAGCTTACATTTATAGGCAGATGTTTTCATTTCAATTATTTAATTTTTGTTTCATCTGTTTAAGAATATTTGAATCCAATTTGTTTGGTTAGGTAGAAATATTAAAATGAAGCTATCTGAGCATACTCTGAAAGATCTGGAGTCTGAATTTAAAATATAAAAGCTTTTCTGGACAAACGTCTTGTATAGATGCTTCTCTATTTGGAATTTTATTTTCAGTTTATCTTTACCCACTTCTAATATGGACTAAAAAGGCACTGACGGTGGGAGAAGAGCACAAACTCAAGGATCAGCTGTGGAATAGTTGTTCTGGATTAGCTATTGCAGACTATTTCCCTGTAGGGAAAACCCCTAAGTAACATTTAAGAATAAGCTACTTTTACAAACAGCATCCTCCTCTCTTTAATTAGGGAAGATGTAAATGTTTTAATGTCTTGAAACTATTGCTTTGATAACTAATATTCATTTAAGTGAGATTATTTTCCCTTGGGATTTTCTACCTATTGAAAGTGAAGAGAAAAGGTAGCCGAGACAGCTTTCCTTTTCTTATTTCTGTCATTAGTCACTGTAGAATTGAAGTTTAAATTACCTCCAGCTCTGCCTTCTTTACTTCTTTTCAATTGACCTCTCTCCACTTACGGTCATCTTTGACTCATCTCTCTCCTCTGCCTGATCTACACCTGCAGTTCTCCATTCCCCCTGCAGCTATGCCAAATCACATAGAAAAAATTACTCTGGGAGCTAAAATGTGAGGCTGTTCTTTGTAAGCTTTTCCAGCTCTGTGCCAGTTATTATGAAACTTCATCCTACTAACATTTCAGACCTTATTTTTTACCATGGTTTCTGGAGAGCAACATTCCTGTGCCTATTTTATTCTTTCCCATGTCTCCAGAAATCTCCCTATTGCCACCATAGCAGTTTGCAGTCTGTTTCCTGAGATGGTTTTTAGAGACTGTTTTCTTTTAAGAAATTAACAGAAACCACCCTATCAGTTAAAAGCTCTCTTGTGTTTAATTTAATATGTTTTAAGGGAGATTTCCAAGTCACAGCATTCCCCTGCATCTTTCAATACACCTTGTTTTATCCTTTTCTTGTTTAAACTCTGGTATAGTCCCAAGCACATCACTGGTGTTTTACACAATAGTGATAATAAACATTCTCTGAGGCTTTAGGCTTAAGGTCATAATTTTAATTTGGCCCATATTGTAACAGAAATATAAGAAACTTCTTTTTAAAAGCAGCGCTACCAAATTTGACTGTTCAGTTGCTTTCCATTTTCTGATGCTTTCCCTGTACTTTTCTGTTTTAATTCTTAGATCTTCAGATGAATTTCTCTTCCTGTATTCATCAATAAAATACCAAGCACTATGACAGGGCAATAGAAAGCTAAGCCATATATGAGTAACAAACTGTCTTGCTGTTTGTCAGTTAGGCTGTTCCATGTATTCAGCTCTTGGATGCTCTGGAAGGCTCAGGTCACTCTGCCTGTACACTTGGCCTATGTGTCCATGATGAGTCACCCGTGGTGCTGTTTGCTGAGGTCTTTTGTTTGATTTCTATAGAGTTCCTTATGGGCAGGGATTAAATTCCTGTGCATGGATGGGAGAATATCATAACTCAGAAGTTCTAGAATTAACATCAGCCCCCAGTCTACATTTAACTGAGGTGCATTTTTCCCCTACAGTCTTGAAGAGAAACTTTAACTTAACATCTTTAACTTCTGAAGGACATTTGATAGGTTGTATGTGAAAAAAAGCATACTTACCATTTCTAGACAGCTTGTAAACAGTTACTCTCTAGGTCAGATACCACAAAAAGGCAGTGGTTCTGTAATCATGCTTACTTGCCTTTCTTTTCCTCTAATCCCTTGCCATTTGTAGTATTCCTCATGTATAGATTTGAAAAAAGAACTGGACATGCCATTGTTATTCATGAAAGTAAATCCATATTTATCATATTTGACCAGTAATATTAATTTACTCCCAGTGAAAGACTATTATCAGTATAAGAATTAGAAGCGTGAACTTACTCAGTTTAGAGCATTTATCAAAATCAAGTGTAGTACAGTAATACCACCAACATTTTCCTTGAAAATAGTAGCATCAGCTGGATAAAATAGCATTATTATCTAGAATCAGGAGAAAAACAGAAATTGCTGAACAACATGACCATAAAGAGCTGTTTGGCATGTTTGGTTTATGAAACCAAGCCCAAGGAAATGAGTGGGTGCTCACCACAGCCATCACCTCAGTGCTGACTTACAGAAACCACAAAACAACCTGCCAGCTGCTGCCACTCCTGCTGCTGGGGCAGAGCAAAGGCAAATGGGCACTTATATGGTACTACTTCCTGCCTGGAAGAATTTTCTGAGTGATCCTGGCTGCCCACCAGAAGAGTGCTTATTAGTATGAGGACAGGAATAGCTCTGGGATGAGACAGCTCAAGCCCTCATCATGATCATCACCTGTAACTGCACGTCCTGTGCTGGGATGATTCACACTGCACGAGGAGTGTTTGGGGCATAGTGTACTTCAGCAGCTTCTCAATCCAAGGAAGGAAATACATTTCACTTTTTAAACATACTGGAAATTTGATTTGAATTTTGCCACGTGGCTTTTTATTTTTACCATTTACTACTATTAAGGCTACAGGTAACCACTATTCCTCTACAAACAGAAATAACTGTTTCCTCACAAATCTTGACTTATTTTACTGATTTTTTTTACTGTGTTGAATGCTGTAAGATTTGGTGAAGCATTGTCCCTTGAAGAAATGAAGGTGCTTTTCTCTGTAGCATGTGACCTTGCTTCAGTGTGCAATGCATGTTGCTGCAGGAGGGTTTGTCTGTTGGACCTTTGTCTGCTTTCCTATGCATGGGTTTCCTCCAGTAAACTCACCCATTCTCTAATTTATTTATTTAATTATTGGAGGTTCGTTTGGTTTATTTTGTTTGGGGTTTGTTGGGTTTTTTTAACCTTAAAGTACCAACGATCAAAGAATGTTATTTAAATTGTGTCTCTGTGGGGATAATGCTGGTGTTTTGATTTCAAAACCAGAAGAGGAACCTTCCAGAAATTATTTCAGACAATTTGCTATGAATGAATAGGATCTGATGTGAAGTCATCTTTGGATTAAATGCTTTGGGAGAAAGTTGTGTTAAAATCAACATGAACTTTATTCTGCAAACACAAATTAACAGAAGATGCTGATGCCAGGGCACAGTTACTGTAGCACTTTGCATTTGTCTTCACCATTCTTATTTTCACTCCATTTAGTGCTAGTGGGAATGACTGAAATTATACTTCAATCTTGTGGAAAAAATAATTTCCCTGAGAGAGAATATTATTTTTCTTTCTCCCAAGAGATAATATTTAATAGTTATTGCTTTCATATTGTGCCTCGGATTTGTGAAATAAGCACAGCAGATCTTTTCCTACAGTTACTGGAGTGCTCAGAAAAACATCTACCCTGTGTGTCTGAATGGCTGAAATACCTCTCACACACATACAGCAAAGAATGTGAAATCCTCAGTGTCACATTGGGTTAGAAGTTCAATGAATAATACAGGATAAAGATGATGATGATAAATTTTGAAAGAAAATAAGAATAAGTGTTGACTGGAGATCTAAATAATAAGATTGCATGTAGGTCTGTAGATACAATGAAGCCAAATAAGTAACCTAGAGTAGGAGCTTTTCATTTTTATTCAGAAATGTTTTAAAATAAGGTGGTTTTTTCCCCTTTCAACTTCACTAGGCCATATTTAAAACAATTTTACTCTGGTGTGCACCACACTTCCCACTTTACATTTCTAATTAAAATGTTTGTTGCTATTTGGAACCTCACTGTGTGAAATTAAATAAGCACTTTTTTAACATCCATAAAATAAATCAAACATTCTTTTCTCATCTGAAAGACACACAGTTCAGTCACAGCAAGCTTGTTTTTCTGTTTCTTTTATTTTCTTTTTTTCATCTGCCTGGTAAGCCAATTTTCTGCTTAAGAACTACTGGTTAAAACTCTTACTTGTTTTGCTATGTGGACTTTATCCTTTCCCAGCACTCTATGCAAAATACTTCAATTTTAAGTGTTCAAAAAATTTCACTGAGAAGAGTGATACTGCCCACACAAGCTAGCGCTATTATTTCTCTCGAACATAAAATGAAAGAGAGTGTTTTAAATAGCATAGCAGGCCTCTTATTTACAAAGATTAACAGATTCCTTTACTTGGATTGTTATGATTCCTGGCTCTAGGATTTGGGAGCCTGGCATGTATAGCATCCCTTATCCTGCTGATGAACTGAAGCAGAGTCCAAGGCAGTACTGTAAGGGGAAAACAGTATAAATGTGCAGTAGTGATGCATAACTGCTACATTAATAAAGGAAATATGTATAAATTACATGGACAATATTTAAATGCATGTACTGTATTTTTGTATCATTCATGTCATAAAACTTTTAAATTTTTTAATTAATGTATTTATTTTAAAGAAATTAATTGGTTTTACTTCATGCAAAATAATTCCAGAAGTCTTTTCTTGAAATCCAAGGCTAAGTGCTTAGGCCAAGATTTTTGGGAATCATTGACCATTGAATGGACTGTACACCCTGCTTGTGATATTACAGCTCTGTCTTTTGAGACCCACTGCCCTGTCCCCTCCCCCACAAATCTGACAGTTGTTCTACCCACTGCTGAGGAAACTCCTCCTGCTTTTGCTTTCCCATTCCAAAAGCAAATGTTTTGTTAAATGATTTAATGTCACCTTTTAGGGTTCCAGAGAACTGCTTCTCATCAGGAAGGAATCTCAGTGGATTCCTTTAAATGGAAAGCTAAAGCACTATATGCACTACATTTACTACCATGTGTCTACTTACCAGATAGGAAAACAATTGACAGAATACCATCTTCTTGTGGGAAAAAAAAAAAAAAAGTTTTGATTATTAGCCTTAACTTTCAAAAGCATTATTAATGTTTCTGTAGTTGTGTGTCTCTCTGCTTTAATTCTTCAGTTAGTGGCATGAGAATGAATAATAAAACTAATTTCTGACAGAGAAACCCAAATCTTCCCTCTCAGATGGAAGAGAATATTCATTTTCCCCCTTCAGAGTGCTGAATACCAGACACATTTGGCAGAACTGGAAGGCAGAACAAAGGGGTCTCTCGGCTTGCTTCTCTTCCTGCAAGAGGCACATGAGGCCACTGATGCATGAGAAGCAGCTTATCTGTTCCAATTTGGGGAGAAATGTTTCTCTTGTTTCCAGCCAGAATTTGAACAGCAATGTCTAGAAAGGTTTCCTTTAAGCCTTATGTGTTTAAACATTATGCCAAACCTTATGTTTTGAAAGGTAACACAGAGTTTCTCTCCTTGCAGTAACTTTTTCCTGGTTAAGAATTGTGTTATATACAGCAACCAGACCTATCCTAGACTTCATTTCAAGGATTTGCTCTCAAAACTATGTGAAGCTAGGAAGGTTCTCATCTCAAGACTCATTACATTAATCTTCCAATATGGGAGATTTTACTTCCTTTGAAGTAAAATTCTAGGTAGTGATCATCATTTTGTCCTACTTTTGCTCTAAGAAGGTAGGACAAAATGATGAATTGGTTGCAATCTACTTGCTGACTCTCAAAGAATCATATGGCAACATTTATTTTCTGTGACTATTTCCATTGCTGGTTTCCTCCAGTCACTCCCATGGAGTTGTAAAATCCATGTTTCACATATTTTCTTGTCTATTGCCTTAACCTTCAAGGCCAGTCTCTCTTTAGAATTTAATTTAATTTGATGAGAGCTTTCAGGCTCTCATCTCTCATAGGCCTGATTATTTTGTGGATCTTCATGACTTTCTTGGAGCTTTTGAAGAGTTGTCCAGAGAAAAATACTGGTTTGGGGTCAAAATATGTAGTAGAATAATGCAGTACATGGAAACTTCCCAGAGGAAGACAGAAAAGTGAGTCCAAGAAAGCCTCAAGGCTCATTTCACTGAAGTTATGGAAGCTTTGAAGACTTGCTTGGGCAAGATTTCTGTTTCACACATTTGAAAGGAGCTGCCTGGTCTCTATACATACTCCCAGGGAAAACTGCAGAACAAACAGTAACACTTCACTTTGTCTTTATTTGGGGTTAGAGAACTCTGTGGTCACAGTAATCCTGTGTCCACAATAACCTCTTTTGGGAGTTTCCTTGCCATGCAATTTAACACCCTAATAAACACACTTCAGCAGTTCTAACATCTACACAGTAGCCACTGCAAGGTTTTGTGGGCATAAAATGACTTGTTGCAGAGGCTAAGCCATTGGTGAGGGAATGGTTGAGGTGAGAAAGTGTTTTTCAGACTAGAAAAGTAAAGTAATCTTTTATTTCCTCTTTGACGCATATTTTCATGGATCTCTGTTGAGATTGGTTGATGTGGTTTTCACAGGTTAAATGCATTGGCTTCTGCATCAGGTGCTTTTGCATTAAGTGGTTCTTTGCATGTCCCTAGCTACTCATCTAAAAGTAGCAAAGATTTTTGTATTAACTGTCATTTGGTTTCCAGCCAGAGCATTGCAATAATCCCTTTTTTCTTTCTTTTGATTGAGAAACCCTTTTGCGGACAAAATAAGTAAACTGTCAGAACAAAAGACCCTAATCAGTCTTATCAACGTCCCAAAAAGCTTGTTTATAAACTTATCAGTTACTTTAGAAGTAATGGGTAGTATGCCAAAAAAAAAAACCTGAATTTCTTATTCTCCTTTACAGGATGAAAGGCTAAATTGCGTATTCAGTTGGTCTTGTGATCTGTGGAAATCAAATTTAAATTGCTCTAACATTATGTGTGCCTTTCTGTTTTCACCCTGAAATGTCTAGATTTCCTTCCTCATCCTCTCTCTACCTTTTAATCACATTTTTTATTCCTTTCTGTGCTTTCATACCATGTGGATTCAAGGGGCTTCCAAAAGTTGTGGCAGGTCAGCAGCTTTAATTTACAATGTGAAGATTACTGTGGGTATACATGAGAGAAGGTTTCGGCTCAGGTTCACATTTTCCTTTCACTCTTTATTTCTGCATGAACAAACACCAGCAAGTTTCTCACTGGCTTCCACTACTCTCACTCTTCTAGAACCACAGGTTTTCTGTCTATTTTTTATGAAATAGCTTTTCATAAGCTCATCTGTAACTCATTTACAGCTGTTGTTTCTCTCAAGGTTTCCCTGCTCAAATCCTGTACAGCACCTCTTGTTCAAATCCGTTTATCATTAGTACATGAACCTTTGCTGGTCTCCTCTGCTGCTTCCACCTCTTAAGGGTACTTCCCATGTTTCCACACTGCAGATTCTTGCTCTTTGCTAGCTGCTGTCTTTTTATCACATTTTGCCTTTATGTTCTTCCTCCCATTCGTTTAACTTTCAAGTACCCTGTAATGGTCCCTGCTTTTCTGCTATCACAAATTCATTATTTCTGCATCTAAAACTGTATGACACCCAAGAACATCTACCACCTACTCATCTGGCAATGTATAGTAGATGCTGTTTTAACATGCCACTGTTTCTACCACTAAAGAGTAATATTTTCTGTTACCATGGCCCAAAGCAAATGATCAAAAATCCTCTATGCTTGATGCTAAGAGTAATTTACTATAGATTTTTCCCAGAATTTTGGGATTTTTACCCCAGGCCACTTGTGAATAATTAGTTATTCTTTTACATCAGTCCTTTCTTCTCTTACCATCATTGACCATTCCCTCTTTTATCTTCAGTTCTGCTAAACTGTTAATAAGACAAACAAATATGGTTCAAACTCTACTGCAGAGGGTTTTTTTTAATGAAATGAATTGATCTTTTAAATGGTAAAAGAGTATATTTCAGAGCTCAGTTTGAAGAATGCCTGCTTCTGACTGCCCCACAGGAAAGCGCATTCACAGCAGTCAATTTTTAAGAGTAAATCACTACAAATGAGTACCAAAAGGCTTTGGATTTTTGCCAGGTGCTGAGTTACGTCCGCATGGAGTGGGAGCCCCTGGATGCCAGGTTCAGCTCTGTCCAGCCCCGGCAGGTGCTGACTGTGGAGCGCTCGGTGTCCGCAGCCAAGGAGCCCATGGCCGACAGCTGCGTCTACAAGTGCGTCAGGAACCGAATCCAGTGCGCCGCCGTCACCAGGGTCCCCCTGCGAGCCAGAGCCATCAGCTGCTGCAGGGATGTGACAGAAGACAAACTGGTGCTGGGCTGTGAAGACTCCTCAGTAGTTCTGTACGAAGCCTACAGCCAAGTGACTCTGTTGGCCCAGGCAGAGCTGCTCCCTGCTGTAATAACCTACCACCCTTCTGGAGCCCTGCTGGTGGTTGGCAGCTCTCAAGGGGAGCTGCAGCTTTTTGACACGGCACTGTCCCCAATTAAAATTCAGCTCTTGGCACAGGAATATTCACCTGAGGCAACTCTGCAGTTCAGTAAACACTGTGATGTGCCCACCAGCCTCATCCAGATCCAGTGGGCTGCTCCTCCAGTTGCATTTCCCAGTCCTGACAGCATGGACATTCATGATCTTTTGTTGGTTAGATTTGATAAAGGACCCTTGGGAGTGCTTCACTTTAAACTTGGTAAGTTACTAAGCACATCTGTTGAACCTTGAGCTGTCAAAGAAATATCTGTATCCCATAAGGTTGGGAACACCCTAATTTTAGGTATATGAGACCATAGCCTTAAAAGCAAATTGCTCCAAAGATATCTGAAAGTACCAAGGAGTTCTTTATGTTTCACAATGACTTTATACCTTTTCCTATTCATAGAACAAGACCCTGACCTGCTGTCTGATTAGCATCCCATAATGTTCTTCACTACTTTAACAAAGCATAACAAATTTTCCTCTGGAAAATTCATTTAATCTGTAGTATATAATCTTAAGAATTGTATTCATTTTGTAGTAATAACCCTAACAAGTTAAAATAAGCTATATTTAATAATAGAATAGTAATGCTATTTTCTTTACCAAATTTTTTTTTTGCATGTGTGATGTATATTGTCCAATATTCTGTTCTTCCTGGCTTCGGTATATGAAGTTGCACCTTGTTTTTCCTTTGAAGACTTTCCACAGAAGAAGAATGATTTTCATAACCTTCAGAGAAGTTTTTTCTCTCAAGTAATTTGCAAGGAGTTGTGAATAAAAGAAGTAATAATGCTAATTTTAAAATTTATATAGCTCTTCTCTTTTTAGGTGTGAAGAACTTTTAAAGAGTAAAACCACAACTAACTTCCTTTTACAAACAGAAAAACAAGAGGCAGTAAAGAAAAGCTAAAGGGCTTTCCAAGAGTTACACAGTGGCTGAACTAAGAATAAAACCCCTGCAGTGGCTCATCAGTGAGAACTGTATTCATTTCATTCAAGTCAGGCAAGTTACAGTGGTGCAAGCCCATTGTGTGAGCTAAAAAAACAATCATGCTTAAACCCTCTGACTCCCAAGCCAGTGTTTCAGCAGGGCAGACAGCCATCCTGGAAAACTTCAGCATTTTGCCCATTGTCTGTCCAAGAAAACAGGATTACTTCTGTAGATCTTCATGAGAGTTTTTAATGATTCTTTTGTATAAAGCTATTGAGATTAGGAAGAAGCCTTTTTTATAAAAAAACCAAACCCAAACAAATTGCCAAAAGACTCAAAATAACAGTTGTTTTCAAAATAACGGGTTGTTATTTTGAAAATCTATTTAATTTCTTTACTTAATGAGATACACATGTACTTTTGTGGGCAAAAAACTGTCTAAAATTACCAGAGACCTAAAAATTTCAAAGACTGAATTAAAAAAATTTAACCAAGTGTGCCACTGCGAAAAGTTAAATTAATGTAATAGGATGTTAGTAACAAAAAGATGTTGGATTGGCTTATAGTTGTGTCATTTTAAAAGAGCTGATCCAAATTATTGCTGTTATCCATAAAAACCTATTTAAAAACCTGTTTACAGGTTATCATTCATTTTGAGATAATTAGCTGCATTAAGTTCAATGACAGGTTTAATAGTTACAGTGTACCCCAGAACACTAATTATAACAGCTATTTGATGATTTTGTGCATGTTGGCCATTTAAAAGAAAAACCCTCTAAATTATCTCTGTCCTGATTTGGTGGGATGGAGTTGAGCAGGAGGCATTCTACCCACCTCTACCTTGCTTTTCTTCAGTCCTCCCTGGTGAGGTTTTCTCACAACAGCTTTCCAGAATGCACAGCTTTCCCCTTGCTATCTTTAGCACATTTATGTTCTTACCAAGGCAAGCAGGCGCTCAGTACAGGGATTTAGAGGCCTTTCCTGCTAATTGCCAGCTTGTAAACTTAATTGGACTGTCTCCCTGGGCACTGTTCCTAAATCAATTAGGCAGTGAGTTGGCTGTCACCTCTTTTTCCCAAGCAGGTTGCCTGGAAGCGCACCACCCAGGAGAAGTCAAGCATCCAAATGGGAAGATGTTGACCTCTACAGCTGAAAGTTATCACATTTTAAAATTCATTCTGTATAATTACTGTAAAATCTCTTCTACGAAGAAGGCAAAGCTCTCTCCCTTCTTCCCTCTCTCCCTCTTTGTAGTCCACCATGCAAAAATATGCTGCTCTCTATTTCATCCTGGTGTTCAGCTTTACACTTCATCTCCGCAGTTTGCCACACTGCCAAGGGAACACTGTGTTGATTAGTAAGTCCATCTTCACAGTCTCAGTTTTTAGGTTTCTGCTATTTAAGAAATAATGCAGAATTAATTAATTAATTAATTAAATGCAATAATAAATTCTAGCAAAAAAATTAGGGGCTCATGACAGCAAGACCCAGACAGGCATTCAGGACTGAAATAAAATCCATGAGTAACACATGGCTTGGAATTGTTTCCCACAGAAGTCAGTTAAGAAACTATGTCAGTGAGAATAGGCAAATATGTTTTTAACTTCCAGCTACATTATGGTTTTGGACAAGTTCTGTGAATCTCCATTATGCTGTCTATCCAGATTTATTTCAGGAAAAAGTCATATTAAACATACCCTCAAACACTAATGGCAAATATTTTTGATGTCTAATGCCAAACTCATTTCCAAAAGCGGCTTCTTTTTATTGATGTCAACCCAGATCTTGGATAATGCCAAACGTGGTGCTGGTGCCAGTAGTTCAGCATTGCTGGCCTCTAAAGGCATTTTAAATATAGTATTGTATTTAATTAACATGAAAATAAGTATTTTCATTTTCACTGAGAGGTTAATGTGGAGATTGCCCAGCTGCTGTAATGCTTTAAAAACACTAAACATTTAGGAAGAATAAAGTCTGCCATAACTATTAGATATTAACAAGTTAAACATGGCTGTTACCCAGCATAATGTCCATAGGCTTTAATATATGCAAATATAAGGTGGAATACAATGGAAAACCTTTCTTTAATGAAGCTAAAAAAATTAAGTGCTTCTCTGTTACTAAATGTGAATATACATATATACATAGGTTTTTCCCCAAAAACATCACTTCTGTATATGCAAGTTCTCTGCAGTTTAATTCTCCTCAAGCTGTATTCAGATGTTTTTCTCCCCTTTTTTTCCCTCACTTCTTATTTCACATCACAAACAGTATTCACAACAGTTATGAAACTTTTGTGAGGTATGTTTTATACATAACAGGTCTGCTCTTCTCTGTTACCAGGCCTTGTTTACCCCAGCCAGTCCTATGGTTTTAATACCAGTATTGAAATTCAGCTTGTTCCCTTTCTCATCAGAACTTTTTCCATATGTTTAGTTTCAACAAACAATATCAGAATATAAATAGAAAAAATGTTAAATTTAAAAAAAAACAAAACAACCTAAAAATGATGTTTTTATTTAAAGATAGAGAAACAGTAAATTTATTGTGGTCTCTTTCTAATATTTGGATGAGTGCTGATAAAGAGTACTCCATCAGAGCGATCCAAAGTGAGCAAGAGTTGCTAAAATTCTGTATGTGGCCAATGACACATGATAATTTGTTTAGTCAGAGACAATAAATAACATTACTTCCTGCAGCTTCTTAGTCACCTTTTCTATTTGGAAGCTGAGATCCACAAGCCAAGAAATATCTGTGTGTCAAGCTTGTTCTTGGTTTCCTGTGCAGTTTTAATTCAAAGGTCTGTAGTATCAAGATGATGATAACTTCCACGGTATCCCCTCAGAAAGAGTGCTCCACTTAGAGAATATTGCCAGGCTAGAAGGATGTTCCAGAGCAGTTGCAATATGGAGAGTAATTGAGTAAGAGCTGCTTTGAGGTTGGAGCTGCTCTACGCTTTTATGCAGAGATACATCTGTGTGAGACAAATGCTGGGGTTTAGTGTTGTCCAGCACTATTTTCCTACAGGAAGGAGATGCTGTGAAATTTGATTTATTACCTACCTTGCAATAGTGATAAACTCCAAATAAAGTTATTCCATCTTGTTTAAGCCAAATTTCATTATGTAATGTTGTCACCAGTGACTTTTGGCTACATTCATTCAACATCCGTGTGTGAAGTTCATTGATGATTTTTGTCTGCTGACCGGCACCCTCAGGCTAAGTATGCCAAGATAGTAAGGTGCTATCTTTTATTAAAAATTTAATACTGAAACCCATCAGCCTAATTTTAAATTATGGCAATTATTTTTAACTGTGCTGAAAAGGAGTCAGCTACTGGTTTACATACTCTGTATAAAAGTATGAACCCATTATCTCTGGTTGTAATATTTCTTGTTAAAGGTGTACTCACAAGAGGACAACTGGGCCTTGAGGAAATCATCCACCAGTACATTCGTAATGATGAGATACAGGAGGCAATTAATGTCCTGAGCACCATGAACTGGAACACCATGGGTCAGCGGTGCTTTATCTGCCTGAGTGCCATTTGCAACCACCTCCTTAAACAAAGGCTTACACCAGCCAGAGAAGGTAAGAGACTTTATATTTCTAATGGATTTCTGTGGTGTCTTGGTAATTCATGTGTGGATTATGACTATGTATTTATTGACTGTATAAAGAAGACCGTAATGAGACTCCACACAGACAGCCAGATTATGGTGCCTCATAATCACATGTCATTGTAGACAAGTAATTTCAATAAAATCTGGACCAATGCATTGACTACATTTTAGTTTGTATCAATAGTGACACTAAAATAATGCACATTGTAATATATATATATATATATATATATATATATATGCTACAGGCATTACTTAATATACATAGCACTATCATTATATTTTGTAACTTCATTCCATTCTATAAATTTAGCTTATGTTACAGAAGAAGGTTAGTTAATACAGGATTGAAATATTTGTGTTATATTCATGTTGAGACAGCACCAGGTTAAGGAGAGATGTTTTCCTGAAGTGGGGACAAGAGATTTTGGTATGTTTTTTAAGGTGCTTTCAAAGGGTCATTCTTTCATTACAAGATGCAAAGGCCTTGAATACACTATCCTCTGCTGCCTCCTTTAGGATTAAAGCATTTGTCCTTACTGTAATCCAGCCCCCTGCAGTAGTAGCTGGGGTCCCTCAGGAGAAATTATGAATTTTAAGTTTAGCCCTGTCTCTGCTAAAGCCTGGTGTGGTGCCTTCCTCCTGATTTGCTGTCTATCTTGAAACTCAGTAGACTTCAAGATTTGAAGTGCCTTGATTTAGTGAAGGTGTTATCCTCCAGTCTAGCAGGCAGACAGCTGGAGACCAGGCATCTTTTGTGGGAAGAGAGAATACTTAGGATTCTGGTGTGTTTGATGATAGAAAAACTCCAAGGTGTCCTACATTGCTGCCAAACCATCAGCTATCCCATTTTGTGGGATCTGATTTAAAAAATCTCTGTGTCGCAAACACAACATATAAACTCTAAATAAAACATGCTTTGAAAAGGACCTGTGAAAAGGGCTGGCTATGATACTCTTCTAAAAATATGTACATTATAAACAGATATCTGTGTGTTTCCCCCATGCAGCTGCCTAACACTGTTCACAGAAGAAGGAATTTTATTCCATCCAGGAGTTATTCTATCTAAATCTAACAAATTTGGCATGGTAATTTGTTTTCTTTTTTATTAACAAAACCCAGTGGGACCTTTTATTTATAGTGATGGGGCAGTTATCTTTGAGATCTTTATCCTGCCTTCAACATCAAGCTGGGCTATTTAATGAATGTATAACTGTGCCAGTAGTCACTCATATTCCATGTCAGTTGAAATATTTCAGAAGTTCAAAACATGCTGTCAAGAAAACAACAATGGCAAGGGAGTTTGGCTTGTTTTTCTATTTTAATCTAAATTGACTGCTGCTTTGAAAGAAAATACCTTTAAAGTTTGACTTATCTTACGATCTAGATTGGAGATAACACAAAACTAATTTTCTAGCAGTTTGTCTGGGTAACTAACACAGTGCTATTAGGACATTTAGTGCTATCAAGCCTAATAAAATCAAGTGTAACTATGCTTGGAAGTAAAGAGTAATTGCCACTATATACAGAAATGCCTAATTCAAACAAACATTAATAATGGCAAATCAATGAGATTCTGTCTGCCTAATGAGACAATAGGTTATATTTTGCTTGTAGAGCAACATAAATATACAGCAAATACTTATATATCAAATTCTCCCTTTTCTGCCTGTAAGGCCTTGTATTACATTGTTAACTCTGAAGCAGAAGTCAAAGAGCATAAGTATTATTGATCTTTTAATTTCCTTTCAGCTAAGTGTGTGGAACACATAAGTACTCTGTATGTTTACTTCTATTGTTTATAATTTTGTATTAAAAATGTGTAGAAAAATGCCCAAGAGCTTAAGCTGTGGAGTACAGCAGTCAGAAAATATTTAAAGAAGAGAGAACTTGTAACAAAAGGACTTTATTTTATTGATTACAAGGGAGGTTATCCTGTTTCCCACCACTACATGCTGTCAAACCCTTAGGGTTTCTAGACCCTTTTATTTAAAATTTTTAAAGAACTGTGGGCCGAAGGAGGTTCCTTAGACCTCAAGGCCTTCACAAAGAGGGTTCTGTTACCTGCTGACCTAACACAATAATTCCTGAAAAACTGAACTCCCTTGTTGTTTGCCTAAGAGGACAAAGACGATTTGAGCTAATTGAGAGTTGATCTCTACTGGACAATCTTGTTCACACTGTATTAGTCTCATGAGTCACTTTTAGTTGTAGGCTGCTGGTGAGAACTTGATGTGTTATAGACTTCTTTATCCTTTTGATAGCTTTTGTTGCTCAAAGTCATTGTCAGCTGTGCCTCCAAGCCAAAGTTTATATGCACAATTCTGTTTGTACAATCTGTCATATTTTAATTTCATCTGTCCTTCAACAACATCACATTTCATCACTGTTTGAGGAATTTGACTGACTGCAAACATGAGCAACCTGTTGTAATTGAAACTAATTCACTTGTTTCATTGCTGCTGTGTTTGAATTCCACAGCACAGCTTGAGGCAAGCCTTGGAACCTTTTATGCTCCAACAAGGCCTCTCTTGGATAGAACTGTGCTGGAGTACAGGGACCCCATCAGCAGATATGCAAGAAGGTTCTTCCACCACCTGCTCAGGTGAGTGACAGTTTCAACTTCTATCAACTTAAAATTAATTGCATATTTCAATAACTACCTACTTTAATGTGGTTAACGTTTTCTAAGAGGACCACCCCTGAAAAAAATGCATTCATTGTTAATGTTTGTTTAACTTGCACTTTGTTCCTTTCAAATAGAGTAATGCGGATAAAGTGCTATTCAGAGCTCTTCTGTCATCAATACACTTAAAATGAATCACCCTTTCCCATTTAGCTTGATAGAAAAAAAGATACCATGCTTCTGAGAGATTAATATTCACCAACTGCTTGCAGATTAGTTATAGAAAGAACTTAGAAACTTGGAGAAAACACTGAGTTTAGAAAGATTCTAGAATACAAAAGCATGCTGCATGGTCCAAGACGTTTTTGTCTTTGCAACACTGAAATATGAACTTTTGTTAGTCTCACTTTTAAAATTCTCATATGTAAATTCAGGTTCCAGTGATTTTCAATGCCGTTAAAATAAGAGGAGAAAATACAGTGTTGAACTTGTCTGTAAATTGTATAGAATCATAGAATGGTTTGGGTTGGAAGGGACCATAAAGATCATCTTGTTAAAACCCAGCCACCACAGGCAGGGACACCTTCCACTAGACCAGGTTGTTCCCAGCCCCATCCAACCTGGCTTTGAAGAGACAGGGCATTCACAACTTCTCTGGGCAACCTGTGCCATTCACCACCCTCACAGTAAAGAATTTCTTCCATATATCCAACCTAAATTTCCCCTCTTTCTCTTTGTAGTCATTACTCCTTGTCCTCCTACTGCAGTTCCTGACAGAGTTCCTCTCTGGCTTCCATGTGGGCTCCTTCAGATACTGGCAGGTTGCTATGGGGTCTTCACACAACCTTCCCTTCTCCAGACTGAGCAGCCCCAACTTCCTTGCCTTGTCTTCACAGGGAAGCTGCTCTGATATTAGACGAGAAACAATAACAAATTCAGCAAGAATTTATAGTACATTGCTTTATTGCTGTATTTTTTTCAACCCATTATAAATTTTGATATGAAGCAGTTCAACCTGTTCACAAATACAGCTGTGATGTTCGCTTTGGGAATTATCCAGTGGATAAAAATAAGGTGAAATTACCTTCTTAATGATACAATGTTTGTAACATCTTGTTGAGAAGGAGTGTAGATGGACACAGTGCAAAGACTGACAATGCACCCTTTTGCAGTGATTCATCCAGATTGTATTTACACTGTCAGCATGGGCAAAGGAAATTACTTTGATAGCACAGAATGTGCTTTTTTTCAAATCTAGAAGACAAATATTCTGTATCGTCTTCTACGTTTTGAGGCTGAAGAGGATCATCTTTCTGGTGAACAGGTCCATTCCAGTGGGGATATTATTCCTTGTAGAAGAATGATTCAATATTTGCATAATATGCAGCAGTCCTTCACTGGAGTTTTCTTAACACACATGGCCACAACAGTGGGTACAAACTCTGTTATTGCCTTTCTCCTAGAAACCAGCAGGGAAGATGCTGTTGTGGCAGTGGCCAACTTGTTGTGGCCGTGGGCCAGTTGCCTGCAGAGGACAGATGCAGGAAAAATGCCTCAGAGATTGCTGAGAGGTGTAACTCTAGTGCTCTTACATCTGCAAGAGAAAGGTGTGTTCCCTCTGACTCAGGGTTTGCTTCCAAGTGCTAGCAGGCATGCAGAGGCATGGGGCCCTGACTGAGCTGCCAGCCCTTGAGGCTGCAGCTGAAACACTGACTCAATCCTCCTAAAACAAGAACCTTCAGTGTCAGAACACTGCCTGGACAGTGTGAGGCACAGCAGGAGGTGTGCACGAGAGTCTCCTCATGTCTTTTACCTCCCACTGTAAAGCAGCCCTTGAACAATCTACAGTTGTGGCAGGTTTTGGAACAAATGTGTTATTTTGCTGTTTTCCTATTTTCAAAGGGATTTGTATTCAACCAAATCAAAGTGATAGGATCATGTGATTGCTGCAGAACAGATGGTAATGCTTAAAGCTTATCTCAGAAGACATAACCTAAGTACAAAATTAAATGTTCAAATATGGGAGATTTATCTGATAGAAAGCAAGGAAATGATGTTCAGAGATGATCATTATTGCATTAAAGTGGCTGTGCCTTAATTGGTGTTTATTTCCTTTTAGATGTTTTCTTAAGTGACTAGAATGATTTAAATGTAGGCTAAGCAGAGAGAACTACAGATTTGTGGGGAATGGTAAACCATGGTTCTGGGTGAGTGAATGCCATCCAGGCATGATGCAATGTCTAGGAGGATCACAGGGAGGCACAGTGCCCACTAATTCAGACACATGAAAGTTGCAGCTGCTGCTATTACATCTCTCTGTGATAGACTAGCAAGGCAAGGCACTCCTGCCAGCCTGATTTACAGCTGTGGGTTCAGAGCAGGAGAAAAGTGAGAAGGGAATTATGCTCCTGCCTTCTCAGGTCACCATGTTATGCCCATGAGGACACTTAAAATGGGGAGTTCCTCCCACTACCTGCCTGTCAGGGAAAGCAAGGTCAGGTGACATGGAGGGAATACAGAGGTGTGTTCACCACTGCAGGGAGAAAATTTGTGTGGCCAAAGCTCAACTGGAGCTGAAGCTGCCCACAGCTGTGGGAGACCATACAAACAGGGCCTTTTTTTAGATGCATTAACATCAAAAACCAGTGCAGCAATAGCGTCAGCCTGTTACAGGATGAGGATGGTCACCTCACAAACAGGGCCATAAAGCAAAGATGTTTAATGCTTTCTTTGTCTCTGTCTTCAACACCAGTGATGGGGTAAGGGGCTCCCAGTGCCCTGAACTGAACCCTGAGGACCATTCCAGTGCTCCAGCTGGACCCCCATGAGCCCGTGGGGCCTGCTGGGATTCATCTGAGAACACTCCCAGAGCTGGCTGATGTCATTGGGAGGCCTGTCTCCATTATTTTTGAATTGTTTTGGGAATCTGGAGAGGACACAGCTAACCAGAAGCTGGCAAACATTGTCCCAGTTTTCAAGAAGGACAAGAGGGATGACCCTAGAAACTTCAGGCTTCAAGTCAAATTCACTTCAGTGACTGGTAAATTATGGGGAAGATTATTCTGGGAAGTATTGAAAAGCACCTGAAGAATAAAGCACTCCTCAGTCCCAGCCAGCACAGCTTCATGACAGGAAAGTGCTGCTTATCAAACCTGATTTGCTTTCATGGCAGGGTAACCCACCCAGCTGATCAAGAGAAGCCAGCTGATGTTATACTTTTGGATTTCAGTAAAGCTTTTGATACTGTCTCTCATGAGATCTTCTGGAAAAAATGTTCATCCCCCAGCTGGATAAACACATCCTGGGATGAGCTCATGGCTGGGGCACAAAGGGTTACAGTGAACCGGGGTGACATCAGACTGGGGACCTGTCACTACTGGGGTTCTGCAGGGCTCCATCCTTGGCCCTGTGCTCTTCAACATCTCCATAAATGACCTGGACACAGGACTGGGAAGGACACTGAGCCAGTTCACAGACAGTACACGAGGGGGAGGAGCTGTTGGCTCCCCTCCAAGGCAGGGAGATGCTGCAGAGAGACCTCAACAAATGAGAGGACTGGGCAGTCACCAACCATGTGAAGTTTAACAAGGGCAAGTGGCAAATTCTGCACCTGGGGTGGTGCAGCCCTGGATGCACAGAATGGGGAATGAGAGGCTGGAGAGCAGTGCCATGGAAAGAGACCTGGGGATGCTGATTGATGGAAAGCAGTGCCCTGGCAGACAGAAGGTCACTTGGTTCGTTCAGCCTGGAAAAGAGAAAACAAAGGGAAGACCTAATGGTGGCCAGCATTCTCATGAGAGGAAGTGGAGAGGCAGGCACTGATCTCTTCACTCTGGTGACCAGTGACAGGACCTAAGGGAAAGGCCCAAAGCTGTGCTGGGAGAGGGTTAGGTTAAATATTAGGAAGAGGTTTTTCACCCAGAGAGTGCTTTTACACTGGAACAGGGGTCCCCAGGCAGTGGTCACAGCACGAGCCTGACAGAGCTCAAGGAGTGTTTGGAGGCACAGGGTGTGATTCTTGGAACTGACATTTGCATGGCTAAGAGCTGAACTTTCATGATCCTTGTGGGTCCCTTCCAACTCAGGATATTAGATATTTCTATGATTCTATTATTTGATTTATTCACTTTTTTACCCTTTTTCATTTAGCACTGAATACTTGCAGGCTAGTTACAAAACAGCTAGAGTATCTCTTCAGAGTGATTTTTTTCATCACAACGGATGTGTCTGTATGACCAAACCAGAAGACTTGGATGCAGAAGCCCTGTAAACTGAGATTGTAAACTTGATGCAAGATTAGGGGGCATTTGTTACTCTCTTGTGAGTGTGAGGAGACTAAAGCAAAATGATCGTTTTGTACCCTAGTGCAGCAAATGGAGGAAGCATAGTTATTTCTAAATTATATGCAGTGAAATTGTGGCTCATATTCAAAAAGCATTTCTTGGCATGGAGTAGGGCCTTCTGCAGTTCATTTGGGCTTCAGAAAGAGCAAGCAGCAGATTCACAGAAGTTAAACCTGGAAGACAAGGAACTAAGGAGAGAAGAGGAGAAGAGCTCAGAGGTTTGGTAGGAAGTCAGAGAAGTGGGGTTAGGAGCATGAGTAAAAGCCAAGGTGCTGGGGACAAAGGTCTGAAGGCAGGTGTGGGAATGTACAGTGTCCTGCAAGAAGGGCAGAATAGCAGCACAGAGCCAAATGGGAGAAGACAGCTTAGGATGTGTGTGGTGGGCTATGGAGGAGAGCAGACACATCAGGGATGGACAGGGAAGGGCGGAGTCTTTCATACAAGATTAAAACATTAAAATGCTTAAATATTTCAAGATCTAAATCTGAAAAATGTTCATATAAACAAAAGGTTTCACCCCGCTCTCCAGCTTTCCTTTGAATACCCCACCAATCTGCCTTAAGCCTTTTTAGAAGGACCAGCTCACAGGAGAGAAATATTAATTCATTCTACATGCTGAGACAGTCTTTGACCTGC